TATTTATTTAATATCAAAACTGTTGAATAAAAAATGATTATCTAGTCATCTTAAATTTAAACAAGTCACTTGTCTCATTCTTTATGATGATCTTGTTATTTCTGTTCAGTTATCATCATATTATTGAAATTAAAAAAATATACAGGCCTTTCCAGGCAGGCCAGGCAGGCCGGAGAAAATGGCAGGCAGGCAGGCCAGGCCGAATAAAAAAAGTTAACAGGCCAGGCAGGCCATGGAAGACACAAGCCTGGCGCAGGCAGGCCAGGCCTACAAAAAGGCGGCCTGCTTGGACCTCTGTTATGCTGCATTGCTTACCAATAACGTGGGTATATATGCCAGCCAATATGCAGTGATTAAATACAACAACGAAGGTTGTTTTGCGTGTTCATTCTTTTACTTAGTAATTCGAAATTGAGTTGCTCTCTTTCATTAATCAATTATTGATCAAGTATAGTTACGATTCATAGAGAAATTCGAGAAGAGCTCATACTCTGCCTTTTTCATTCTTAAGAGAGCTATGATTGTTCACTGATTGATGAATCCCAAATCGCAATGATTCACCAATCAAAGAAATACATTATATCTGAATTGAATTTCTTTCGTTTCAGCTTTCATATGCTTGACAGAAAAAGAAAATATCCCGTAATTTTATATTCTACGATATTATAAATGCTTATGCGCGTTAATCATAATATCGCTATGGAATTATGTGCTATCAATCACTGCTACGCATGCAATGAATCCGAAAATTCGAGTTTGAGTTCGTGTTTGCTGTTGAATGACTAGGTGTCGGTGTAAGTGTGAGTAAGCTTTTCATTCAGCGCCCACATACCAATCAACAATTAGATTCAGTCTCACATCCTCGACTAAATTATTACTCATGTTGCTGGACAAAAACAACACATAATAATAATCAGAAATACTCGAAAAGAACCTTGCACTACTCTTGATTGCATCCATCGAGTAAAGTTCCGCATATGATTTTGTTGCATATGAGTTGTCGATGATAGTCATGTGTACATGCTTCACTTACTCTTTTCTAGTTTCATAATGTCGAAGAAAAGATAAGATTGTCGAATTATTTTGAATGTGACTTTCTTGTGGTTAGACATGCACCGAATCCGAATTCTGACTCAGTATTCGGGACGAATGATTCGCGAACGGGTTCGAGTATTTCTGAATGCTGTTGAGTTCTTTTTTTATGTCTGCGGATCGTTGACTTTTGAATAATTTATTTCGCTGCGTACAGATCTACTATGGTCAAGCCTGAAATCCTTTCTTCTGGCTTACTTCTGCTGAACTTTATTAATTAACTTACAATGACCGTATTCAAGACAGGATTCAAATCAAAACTGCGAAACCAGATCCAAACGTTATTGTTCGTTGCATACCTAGCAGTGATTGATAGCAAATAATTCCATAACGATAATATGGTTAACACACAAATCTTTCTAATACTCAGTTTGAATTACTAATAAAAGATTATTATTTTAAGGTAAATGCTTCAACTTATTTCACTTCAGCTAATTGATTGAATCTGAAATTACAAAATATTTTCTTTTTTTATCAAACACATGCAAGCTGAAAAGAAAGTAATCCAATGAAGATGTAATGTATGTCTTTGATTTATGATCAACCGATGAGCAATTATAGTTTTAGTGAGAATGAAAGAAGTAGAGAATAAACTCTTCTCGAATTTCTCTATGTATCACAACTAAACTTGATCAATATTTGATTAATGAAAGAAGCAGCTCAGTCTTGAATTATTAAAAGATTGAAGATATAGAACAATCTTCGTTGTTGTATTTCACCACCTCGTGATAATTACCATATATGTCTAAGTTATTTGTAAGCGATGCAGCAAGGGGTTTGTACGAGACTCGAAGCAACAAATCGTTCTATCCAAGTCACCAAACTAACACGCACATTCTTCTTTTTGTACTTCCTAACAAAACCTGTTGTGAGAATTTTTCAAAAATTTCTTTTCTAAATTTTGAATTAGGTGCTGATAAAGTAGAAGTTAAGAGACAGTTGCATTTAGAGAAATCTTTTTTTATGTTGGACTAATTACAAATCGTTACTTATATAGAAAACTTCATAGTAGATGTTAATTTTTTTTTTCACTAGAATTATTATTAATAATTCGGTTTTCTCTTGCTTATTTTTGACGATTTTAAGAAGATAGGGGTTTGCCGATAAGAGACGAGCGTGGCAATTTACTGAAACACACGTTTATCCTATCAAACTGGTCTCATAGACAATGTTTTATTTTTTGATTCTACAATCGGTGTAAAATTGTAAAATGAATTCTTCTGGAATCGGCATATTATTTTGTAAACGATGGCCGATTATTAGTACTGAAGTAGTTAATAAGAAAAGTAATCCCTTTCTCACAGGTCTCTTACACAAACACTGACGAAACTACAATTTTTCATGATTTACTAGAATTTTTGATCGACTTTCATTTGCCACAAGTTGAGTTGGGTATGTAAGTTTGAGAAGGGACACGGGTATGGTCCTTCTTTTCAGACAAACCAAAACCTACACCGATACCCACGTTTTCATCTAGACTGTCAGCCAAATCTTCATCCGTGACTCACTCATGCCCTCACCTCTTCCCGCTATGTAACAGTTGGAACCTGTTGGAATTGTAAAAGGAGATTGAACTGAAATTACTGAAGTTCGATTTAAAATGAAGTCGGAAGAGAAATTATTTGATGCACGCCGATTTGATGGAATTCAATAATATCATTCTTACCATTCTTACGCACTTATTCGCTGTGGGCTTAAGTCATCTTCAATAATCTCTCATGTATAGATTTATCGTTGACTTAAATCTATTCATCTCGATAGTTTTCATACTGAAAGGAAAACATGAGAACGAAATCTTCCTTTACCTATGCTATACATGCTAGTGTTTTATTCTACAATCATCTTCATGGAGCTCTCTATCATCGCCATATAGTTCTACATTGACGTTTTTCGTTGAGATGAACATATTCTTTGTTTCAGACAATACCAAAGTTTTCTTCGTACAAATTCTCGCGTGAAAGTCGGACAAATCAGTCAGTTCTCTAGCATTCGAGTATCTTAACAATCCTAATATTTCAACTTTAATTGTCATATTGGTAGAAGAACAAAGTAAGATAATTCAGGAAATTATGTAATTGATATTCAATGTGAATTAGATTATTTATTTATTAATTAATTGGATCCAGGGTGTGGGTGGGTGTGGGTGTGTTAGATACAATACACAACACCCACACCCATACCCTAATCTGGGTGAGGGGGTACGTGGATATTAATATCACCTTCTACAAATTTTTCTTTCCTTGTTACCCTCTCCTATTGTCCTGTATAAGCATCTGTTGCATGTAGATTAGTTATATTCTGGAGATTTGAAGTAGCTCAATAACCATTACTACCGAGGGTATCAGTAAAGCTACTTCTTCAATATGTTGTTACAACGTCTGCAATGGTTCTAGATCATATTAGTTTCTACTTAATTCTAGTTCTTTACTAATCATGAGTAACCTTAACCATGAATAGCATTTACTCAGGCTTGTTAATTTTCAATTTTTTACTTGATCTCTTGGAACTATTCCGTACAATAGATCAATTTCATGCTTTTCATGTTCTTAAATCTAGATTCAATATTCTACTGTTTATCCAAAAGATTTCTTGACAAGAGCTTATATTCATTGAAAGATAAAGCTTTTCCACTCAATAACTGGATAGTCTCGTCGTTAGTTAAGTTACATTCTAATATTATAATGGTCATGTCTACATATTGTTGAAAGACATATCTACAACATTCAATGATGATCTGTCCAAACAAAGAACTGTTCAAATTTAGTATTGACTTTAACCCACATTCTTTTAACTTAAGATCAAATAAAGCAATATCCGAAAAAAAACTACTAGATGATGGGTCAGACACTACTGGTAACCGAGTTGTTATTGGTATTATTATTTTTCTTAAGCTCAATTTTTTACCATCAATAATGATGGTGGTTGAAGAAATTTTTCAAAGACTTTCCGTTTATTTTTGCTTGTAACTCTAAACGATCATATGGAACAATAGACAGGTGAAATTTTAAGACAATTTTATAATAAAAAGTCATCAAAGTTAATCAAATACAGAAGCAGTTTGTCTTTCTACCCGTTATTCTTGATTGACGACTAGGTCAATGCCCATTTTTTGAAGCGATAATGTAATGCATGGAAAACAAGTCATTTTGAATCCAGAATAGTTTGTTAATCGCAAGCAAAGCTGCTTTCTTCGTTGGTGCATCGATTTCATCATTACTTAAAATAGCATCGATAAGAATGTGTTCAAGATAACCAAATGTAGCATTTATATGCACATAGTCGACATTAATCGAGTGTGTACCTGCCATATTGGTATGCATTTTACCTACATTTGATAAAAAACTCAGAAATGCGTCGTTCCATATGCGTTGACGTAAAATTCGTGATAAATATTTACGCATATGATTTATACGAAATACCATTTGCTCGGATTTTATCGTGAGTTGAGCCTCATCTGTTGTCATAGTGCCTTCAAAGCCATAATTTTGTGTAAGAAAATATTGTTTAGTTATGTCATAATCGAGTAGTTTTTGATAAAGACCCTCGACTACTGATGGAATGAGTGGATGAGCAATTTTAGAAAGAGTATTAAGCATAGTAATATCATCCTCAGTAAAATTGAGAAATTTTGACAAGTAATCGAAACGGTATCGTAAATCAGTATCTAATAGAGTTTTGTCGATGTGCGCGGCCATAATAGTGAATGAGAATAAGTAGTAGGTGTTTGTTCTATTTCAGCAATGTCTGCAATACAAAATGATGATACATCAATGGTTTTTTTTTCTTTTTTACTTTAGCTGTCAGACATCTATCTTTTTCTCTCTCGTTTGCAACAAAACTTAAGAGACAAAGAACAGACCATTAATTTCACCAGAGAGAGCTAGTACCACTGTCTATTCAAAGAGAAAAAAGAAGAACGTAATGAGTAGCGCATAATTTTTTCACTATTTTTTTTTTCTGATGATAGTGTTGCAATGGAGTATCATCGAATAGATTTTATCATTTTTTTTTGCTACAATTAGCAAAGTGTTTAGCACAAAAAACATGTTAAAACGCATGATGAGATATATTTTTGATAGGCTACAAAATTATTAGAACGAAAGACATCGATCACTTATTTTACAACTTCGATCAGAACTTTGTAATTCAAAGATTTTTTTTTACCTATAACATTACCCACTTTTTATGTTTTTCTACTACTATATTTGCATTTGTTCGTCATGACGAAGGTTTTTATATGATATTAGAATAATCAATGTAACGTACCAGATACTGAACAACAAGCAGTTTGATAAAAAACTTAATTTAGTGATTAGAACAAAGAAATAGTTTTTTATTTGAATATTCTACAGAACAATTGTATTTTACTTTAAATAACATTGTTCGGTAGAAGATTCAATAATTCTCTTTTTCCTTGTCAAATATATAGCTGTAGGCAACTTCTCTCTTAGAATAAAATTGACTTTTCCGACTACCATCGAGAACGATGAAAAATTAATGATACGAGAAAATGTCATAAAAGTGTTGATTTATATTGTGACAAAACACGCCAAATATTTCTTCTTGTGACAACAACGTACCTTATTCTCACATCACAAAATAAAAAGATTACTTTTCCTTTTACCGAAGTTTTTTTTCTAAATTTGAAAATATTGCACAACAGTTTACCGATACATTTCGTTCCAAGATTTTTACAACCTCTTGAAAACACTTTTGATCATACTTTTTTTATATATTTTTGTACTAAATGATTTGTTTGTTCTAATAAAAAAAAAGACAAAATCTCTTCGACATTCCATCGCAATACTATAACAAAAATAAAAACGAATACAGAGCTTTCGCATCAAGGTTAAGACTATTTTTCTTCTCATTAATGTGTCATAAGTTTTCTTCATTCTACTACTATCTATGTGCGCATAGTTCTATGAGCAAACACTATATATATTAGTGTTGCCTATTGAAACTATACTTGTCAAGATAACGGATTTCAGTGCAATCACTATGAGATTAAAATGTGAAATAAAATAATACTGTTTTTATCGTAAATGAACAATCTTTCACCCTCACCCTTCTGAAAAATTATTTTTATTTAGTCAATACTTGCGTGAAAATTTTTTAAAGTTTGATATAGAAGTATTAAGTAAGCATCATTCTTTTCATTTCTTTTATGTTATCATCTGCCTTGTTTTACACTGACCCTTAACATAAAAACTTTCAAAAATAGTAAAATTAAAGCTTTTGGAGCAAATTTTCTGATTATTGAATAGCATAACAGCATGATGATAATGATATTCACTTTTTTTCACTTATATGCTCACTCATAATATTTATGTAGAAACCTTAATACATTAGATTTCAGAGACGATCAAATCGAAGACGAAAACAATACCTTATTTTATTGATACACTACGAAATGAATACGGTGAATATTTCTATCGTTTCATTTATCTGATACACTCATCTGCATTTTTTCACACAAACACTCACCAGCTTTCCGCTAAACTACATAGAGTTGTAACTTTGAAGATGTAACATCTGATTAATGTATTACAACAAAACAGAATAACCACTATGCTTTCTTCATTTTTCTATTATGCTTATCAGCACTTTTTCACATAGACATGCAATGCACTTTATCTGAACTGCAATAAAATCGGAACTCTGAAAGTGCAACGTTTGATTAATGTATTATAAAAGAACAGAATGATTATCATGCTTTCTTCATTTCTCTACTATGTTCATCTGCACTCTCGTTCATAGACATTAATCACATTAGATCTCTCAACTAATGTAATATGAATAAATGGAGAATGATATCTGGCTGATGCATTACGAAATAACAAAGTGATTGTCACACTTTTTCTATTTCTGTGATATAGTCATTTATGATTTTTCACATAGATAATTACCACACTAGAAGTTGACCACAGTGACATTTAAGATGAAGAAGAAGAACAATATTTTGTTGATGCATTACAAAACGACATGATGATTATTTTTCTCCATACATTTTATCATTTCCTGATGCTGACAGAGTAATATCTAATCGATGGTTGCCGTTGAAGTTGCTAACAGAAATATGTTACTATTCAGAACTAACATCAATTGAATACATGATTTGACTTTTGAAAAGTTTAATTGTTGTAGCCTAGAAATAAATCGACATCCTGACTCTAAACATTGGTCCCAACAATATCAAGCTGAGAGTCATTGTTAAAATCAGAAAGTATGACTGGCTGTGGAGTACATTTCCGCTTGGTTGAATGTGTATCTATCAGCACATTCAGTTATTCTATCAAACATCTACATTAACCATCGGACAATGATGCTATTGCTTTTTCTATCATAATATTATACTTCTTGACTTTGTTTTTTATTGTATTTTTTAACATTGTCTAATTGATTGCTTTCTTGTGTTCCTATATATTTTAGGAATCATACAGATAAGAAAGCGAACAAAATCTCATTAAAATAATTGTCACATTTATTAAGAGATGAATGAGACTGCAACGATATGTGTTAATGCTATATTCTTGTCGTATAGTGTCGATGATCGTTATTAAAAGTACTGTAGTTAGTCATCCGTTTCAAATGAAAACTTGCGGTAGTTCAACATAAGCAAACGAAAAATGCAGTGACTGACAGTCGCAGCATCTCGTACAAATTCATCAATAGTGATGTACATGAGAGACAGATACGAAAGCACCATCAAATGAGTGAGAAGAGGAACAATTTTGTGTGTGCTTACATATGGAGAAGAATGAGCAATTCAAGCCAATGGAATGCCAAATTGGAGGACAACATAATAAACTCCATATAGCGGTTCATGTGAAGATATACGGTCACAAACGTCAGTGTATTCTGTCGTGGTCATTAGAAAACAACGATACCGCGGTACGAATATCGGTGTAACAGACGTGTATATTTTGCAGTATACGACATGGCGTCATAGGACTCCAATATTGTCCTTATTACATGAGTGATTTACACCCTATAGCAAGTCGTTGTAATCATGGACCTGGGTTATTTTACGATATCAATTTTTAAAACAAGTCATTTGCGAAACATATTGTGTGCGACCTTAGACACCTCTAGATATATCAATTTTGACAAATGGCTGAAAGCATCTCATAGATTATGAAAGTGACCGCGAGTCGTACTCACTTGAAATATTAATAACAAACAGAAGAAGAATCTTGACCAACAAACATTCACACAGCTCTATCTGGTAGTAGTTTAGAGCATCAACCTTGAAGACGAATAAACAATAGCGTATTGCTACACGCCAAAAGAAAGAACGTACAATTCTCTTCTTTTATTTATATTAGTGAGAGTCTTTGCCATTCGTTCGTTAGTTATGCGTATTGCACAATCTTCTGCTTACTTGATTGGAGAAAGCGGCATGAAGATATTTTTTTTCTTCATGCACCTTTCTTGCTTCTCAGTCAGAACGTGTAATAGTAGTAAATAGAAGAAAAAACTAAGAACGATTCATTTTTTTTTCTTGCTTCCAGGTGTAACGATAGAAGAAATGTAAGAGAGAATGAGCACACTTTACGCCTAATTTGTTTCATTATATATACGCTTGTTTCACATGTTGCTCGCCAAATAATGTATTAGTTTATTTTACAATAAATAATTTCTTTTTATTTATCTAGTTTTTTGTTTCAATATTAAAAAAAAAAGAGAACGTAACAATATTGTTAGCCAGAATTACGTCAAGGACAAAACATCGATCATGGAATCTAACAGTACACATGGAGTAAAAAATCGAGTGAATAACAAATACATTCGATATACTTTATTCTTTATTTTTCTTTCGGATTGGATTTATAACTTATTTAAAACATTGATTCGATTCAATTTTGCAATTATTTTCGATTATTTTTTGTATGTCTATCATTTATGGCAATTAAATATAATACTTGTCACGCCGATAGCTATTATTTGCTTGTTGGGAATACCAAAATTCGGTAATATCCTGCGAAAATGTTTTCTCATGGTTCAAAAGCTTTTAACGTCATTGATGAAAAGTCCTATTCTGATTGATATACCAATCTACTTGTACTTATTTGCAATTGGTTTTAAATTTTATCCATTTGAATCGAAAACGAATGATAAGAATAATCAATGTACGAGTCAAACAAGAATAAAGAATGTGTATTGGATTGAGATTCAAAACGATCTGATAACTTATCGATTTTTCTATCTAATTTCTACTATTCTTTTTCTATTTGGTATTTATACAATTATGACCAATCGTTTAATCTATCGATGGTCGAAACGAATTCTATCAATTTTTATGACACAAATAAAAAGTTTCTTTTCAATTCTATCAACATCGATTCCAACACCACTTTCATGGTTAATTTTATTAGTTTTAAATATTTCTTTTCGATTATTTCCTTATGTCATTATCCGATCGTGCGACATTGTGACAAATCGTACATTCATACTAATCAGTCTCATTTTCATATGTCTCTATAAAGTTTATAAATGGTTAAATCCTGATCCAAAGTATGAATTAGATTTTACAGGCGATATCTATCTAGATGATGTATCTCAATTGAATAAGACTCGTATATCATCCATTTTTTATCCTCGGACAGTCAATGATATTCAATATTTGATTGGTAAAGCTCGATCAGAAAATAAAACCATATCTGTACGAGGACAAGCTCATACAATGGGTGGACAAACGTTACCATGTCGAAAACGATCGTCGACAAATTATGTTTGTGATCTAAAATATATGAATCAAGTCGAATATGATCAGACAAGTCAAGAGGTTTTAGTTCAAGCTGGAACAACATGGACAAATGTTATTTATAAACTCAATTTTTATGGTCGATCACCAGTCGTTATGCAAAGTTATTGCACATTTAGTGTAGCAGGTACCCTATCAGTCAATGCACATGGTATTACTTCAGATGATGCTATATATAATTCAGTGATCAGTATTGAATATATTGATATTAATGGAAAAGAACAAGAATGTAGTCGAGAGAAAAATCAAGAGTTATTTTCATTGATTATTGGTGGATATGGCCTTTTTGTAATTATTACTCGAGTGCGATTAATGACTGTACCAAATATAAAAACAACATTAGAATACATTCGATTACAAGTAAGTGCTATGAATGATAGGAGTTTTTGTTATAATGACTTACATCGATATTCTTTGAATATAAAATTTAAGATAGATTTCGATTAATCAAACAAAGAAAAAAACTCATTGAAGGAAGTTTGTGAAATAACTAAAAAAAAATGTGGCTACACATTGATCAAAAGTCAGTAGCATCTGAATGAAGAAAACCGTTGCTAAATATGTAATGAAATTAAAGTGTATTTTCTGATTTCGATTATTCTCGTTTTTCCGACATACATCATCCGAATTACGGATTAAAAATTAACTAAATGAGAGATGATTGATTAAAAGTATATCATTCAGTTAGTGTATATTGATAGATTTTTTAAATCTGTTAATTTTTCGTTGGAAGTTTTATTGTAAAAATTATACATGATTTATTCGAGAAAGAAAAGCAATAGGATATGTACATTAGGAACAAAGGATTCAAGTTCTTTTTAAATTTAATTCTGATCATCATCTGTTGTGCAATAATAGAAGCACATGCGATAGATGAACATTTGCTAGTAGAATTTCAATGCTTTTCCCTAACTTACGAGGGAAGGTCCCCAAGTGATTCACCGCTTTTGGCTCCATATTTTGCCCATAAGTAGGGGTCTTGCAGACTAGAAAAAGTCTAAGAGGATATGGGCCCATATTGCAATTTGGCTGAGACACTCAAGTTTTACCCAAAATTCCATGTGAGACCTTGATTTTCCAGCAAAATCATATTTTCGAATTTTGAGCTGAAACTTTGCCCAGATAAAGCCCTCAATTGGACTAGCTTGCAAAAAAAAATCTCAGTACTTTGGGACATAGTATTACTGAGATATGAATTTTTCAAAGTATTCATGTTTTATACAATATCAATCGAAAAGCGCCTGTATTTTGGAAAATTCATATCTCAGTAATACTATGTCCAAAAGTACTGACATTTTTTTACAAGCTAGTCTAATTGAGGGCTTTATCTGGACAAAGTTTCAGCTCAAAATTCGAAAATATGATTTTGCTGGAAAATCAAGGTCCCACAGGGAATTTTGGGTAAAACTTGAGTATCTCAGGCAAATTGCAATATGGGCCCATATC